TGATTGAAGGCTCCGGAAGAGCGAATATAATATTACCACAAGGGAAAATAATTACAATTGGTTATGCATTATTTGCATCAAAATCGCCAATAAATTTATTAAGTTTTTAGGATATTTGGTCTAAGGGGTATCATGTTGAAACAACTAATGATGGTGATAAAGAGTATCTCAATATTACAAAAATGATATCGGGTAACAAAAGTCTTTTGGAAAAATTACCTGTATTGTCATCCGTATTTTATTATACAAATATTAGAATGATTGAATCTCATGTATTGAAAATAAAAGGTATGATAACACCTTCAAAGTTTGGCATGACCGGTTGGGCCATCCCGGATCAATTATGATGCGCAAAATAATTGAAACTTAAAGTGGATATTCCTTGAAAAACCAGAAGATCTTTCAAGCTAATGAATTGTCTTGTGTTGCATGCTCTCAAGGAAAATTAATTTCCCGTCCATCATCGAACAAAGTTGGGTATGAAAGTCTTAGTTTCTTAGAAAGAATTCAAGGGGATATATGTGGACCAATTCATCCACCATGTGGACTATTTAGATACTTTATGGTTTTAATTGACGCGTCAACTAGATGGTCACATGTATGCTTGTTATCTGGTCGTAATATCGCTTTCACAAGATTACTTGCACAAATAATCCGCCTAAGGGCACATTTTACCGATTACCCTATTAAGAAAATTCGACTTGACAATTCTGGAGAATTTACATCACAAGCTTTTAATGAGTATTTCATGACGATTGATATAACTATTGAATATCTTGTTGCATATGTTCATACACAAAATGGTTTAGTTGAGTTGTTAATCAAACACATTCAATTAATTGCAAGACCATTACTGATGCATTCTAAACTTCCTACATCGACATGAGGACATGCAATTTTACATCTAACATCACTTATACGCATCAGGCCAACTAGTTATCATAAGTTCTCCCCTATTCAACTAGTTTACTGTCAGACACCAAATATATCCCATCTAAGGACGTTTGGATGTGCAATTTATGCATCCATTTCCCCACCTCACCGCACAAAAATGGGCCCTCAAAGAAGAATGGGAATTTATGTTGGATATGAATTTCCATCTATAGTAGAATATTTAGAACCATCAACTGGAGATTTATTTACAGCTAGATTTGAAGATTGTCATTTTGATGAATCGGTTTTTCCAACATTAAGGGGAGAAATAATCAAGCTGGAGAATAAAATCTCTTGGAATGAATTTTCACATTCAGTTTTATATCCTCGTTCAAGTCAATGTGAACTTGAAGTGAAAAAGATAATTCATTTACAAAATGTAGCAAAACGATTGCCATATGCATTTACTGACCCTAAGAGAGTAAGAAAGTCTCATGTACCAGCTGTAAATGCTCAAGTTAAAATTGATATTCCAGAAGAAAAAACACAACTACAAATGAATCTAAGGCACACCTGAAGCATGGAAGACCAGCCAGTTCCAAAGATAAAAATTCTCGAAAACGAAAGGGAGAAAATATAATTGATGGTCCAAAAGAGAAAACAAAATCTCTTGAAAAGATTAATGAAGCTCTAGAAGAGCCCAATGACATAACAAAAGAAACTGAGGTACCTGAAAATTATGAAAATGAAGAGATCTCAATAAACTATGTCATCAAAAGGAATAAGATTGAATCTAAATAAGATAGACATTGACGATAATTTTTCATATTATGTTGCGCGCGAGATTATGGAAGAAAATGAGTATCTTGAACCTAAATTTATAGAGGAATGTAGAAATAGGAAAGATTGGCCAAAATGGAAAGATGCAATCAACAAAGAGCTTAATTCTCTTACTTAACGAAAAGTTTTTGGACCTGTAGTCCGTACACCAAACGGAGTAAGACAAGTGGGACACAAATGGGTATTTGTGCGCCAAATAAATGAGAAAAACGAAGTTGTGATATACTCCCTCCGTCCCAAATTAATTGTCCACTTTTGACTTTTGAAGTCTTTTTTCTTCAACGTTGACCTTAAATATTTTTATTTGTGTTATATATTACTTGATGAAACTTATAACAATGAAAAGACATTTAAAATACAATTCATTCATATATTTTGCATCAGGTATTATCTATCAAAAAGAAAAATATTTAAGATCAAAGTTGAAGAATAAAGACTTCAAAAGTCAAATGTGGACAATTAATTTGGGATGGAGGTAGTATAAGGAAAGACTTGTTGCACAAGGTTTTACCTAAAGGCCTGGAATTGATTATGAAGACACATACTCTCCTATGGTTAATGCAATTACATTCCGTTATCTAATAAGTCTGGCAACACATGAAAAACTGGATATGCGTCTGATGGATGTAGCTACCGCCTATTTATATGGTTCAGTTGAGAATGATATTTATATTAAAATCGCAGAAGGGTTTAAGGTGCCAGAAGTACAAATTCCTAATTCTCGAGAAGTATATTCGGTAAAATTAAATAAATCTTTGTTTGTATTGAAACAATCTGGTCGTATGTGGTTCAATTGTTTAAGTACATTTCTGTTGAAAGGGGGCTATAAAAATGATCCATTAAGCCCATGTGTATTCATAAAAAGATCTGGATAAGAATTTGTGATAATTGTTGTTTATGTAGATGATTTGAACATAACTGGAACTCCTGGAGAATTGGAAAATGCCACTTCTTATATGAAAGAAAAATTTGAAATGAAAGATCTTGGTAAAACGAAATTTTGTTTGGGTCTTCAAATTGAGCATATCAAAAATGGAGTTTTTGTACATCAATATAGTTATCTAGAAAAGGTGCTTAAAAGGTTTTATATGGTTAACTCACATTCATTATGTAACCCGATGGTAGTAAGGCACTTAGATGCCAAAAAGGACCAATTTCAGCCTTGTGAAAAACATGAAAAATTTATTGGTCCTGTAGTACCATATTTTAGTGCTATTGGTGCACTAATGTATCTTTCTAATAATACAAGACCTAGTATATCTTTTGTTGTAAACTTATTAGCAAGATATAGTTCTTGCCCAACAAGAAGACACTGGAATAGAGCCAAACATATTCTTCAATATCTTCGAGGTACAATGGAGATTGACTTATACTATTAAAATTCATCAAATGCGGAGTTAATTGGTTATGCGGATGTTGGATATTTGTCTGATCCACACAAAGTCTGATCCCAAACAAGTTATTTATTCACTTGTGGAGGTACCACAATTTCTTGGCGTTCTGTCAAACAAACTTTAGTTATTGGTTCTTCTAACCATGCAGAGATTATAGCAATTCATGAGGCAAGCCGTGAATGTATTTGATTAAGAAATTTAACTCATCACATCCGTGAGAATTACGCTCTAACTTCTAACAAGGACGTTCCAACCATACTATATGAAGATAATGCAGCTTGTATAGCCCAATTCAATGAGAGGTTTATCAAAGGAGACATAACAAAACATATATCACCAAAGTTTTTTTCACTCATGATCTTCAAAAAGAGAGTGGCATCAACATCTAGAAAATTCAATAAAGTAACAACTTGGCAAATTTGTTCACTAATGCGCTTCCTACATCCAAATTTGAAAACATGGTACGAAACATTGGAATGCGGCATGATACAACTGTCATTCAAGGGGGAGTGTTATGAAATATTAGTTTGTGAATGACCATTGAATTCTCCATTTCTTCCATAACTCCCCATCATTATTTAGCATTACTACAACCATTTCAATGTGTTTTATGAATGTAATAATGCTTCATCATAATATGCATTCATATTATAACTCAGCTTTCATCTTATTTTGATAGTATAAATAGTGAGCCATATGTATTAGAAAGTTGATAATTTCATCACAAGTATTGGAATAAAAGTTCTACTTACTTTCATATCTTTCTTTACTCTATAATTTATCTTGTTATTTGATCATATTTTATAACATTAATAAAAAATTATCCAGAAAAAATAAACTATCTTATACGTTTCATAAAGGTATGCTTCCCTTCCATAAAGCTTTCATTCTCATGAGAGAAACTATTCTTCCTTTTCTATCTTTCCCAAGCCATGATTCCCTTTTAAGGTTTAACAGAAAAAAGCTATCCGACGATTCCTTTTGTTGTCCTCCTCATCCTCCTCCTCCTCCTCCTCATCATCATCATCATCATCATCATCATCATCATCATCATCATCATCATCATCATCCACTTTAATATCACACAAAAAAACCCACAAACTAAACAGTCGTTGTTGGTCGACGCACCACCCCGACAGTACTGTTTTTCCTCCCCGGTTTCATTCTTCTTTTCCTTGCATTTTGTCTCTCTATGCTGCTCCTTACGATGGTTTCTTTATGCTGATGAAATATGGAAGTGAATCGAGCAGATGTTGGCTAGAGACAGAAGAGATTTTTGGATAAAATACGTTGTAATATTATATATATATATATATATATATATATATATATATATATATATATATATATATATATTCAGTATCATAGTTGAGTAAAACAAAATGATTAAAAGAATTAAAACGATTAAAAGAATTTTTCTAATTTTGTTGTATTTGACTCGATTAAATGTTTAATTGTTATTTAATTCAATTGTTAATATTTTTTTATTTTGACTCCGTAATTAATAATAGGTTATCATCAGATGTTGACTAGACATTAATTCATTAAGTATATTTTAATTTTTTTTTAACAAAAAGCCACATCTTTACAATTATTATTATTATTATTATTATTATTATTATTATTATTATTATTGAAATATTGCTATTAAGAGTTATGGCATTAAAAGTTATAATCTTTTTTAATAGCCTCTGAACTAAAACAATATTAAACCAGAAGAATAGTTTGTATGTAGGCTAAAATGGTATTTTTTTTTCAATAAAACTTTAAAATTATGCATCTACAATTTCGGAAAGGAGTAATTAATAGATTAGGAAATCCAAATATTCTTAATTTATACTAAAACGTTTTGTTTACGAAAAAGCAAACAAACTGTAGATTAAGTCTATAAATACCGTTTCTGCAATATTCATTACACCAACCTCAAACCACCCCCACCCATCCCTTCTGTCTGGTGGATAGTATTTTTGTTATCTTTCAGATAATATATGGAGCTGGGCTTAAGCTTAGGTGACAAGTCATGTAAAAAGTTTCATGGGATTACTACAAAAATCCCAGCTGCAGCCCCTACTTTCCCTTCCGCCGCCGACAGTTGTAGTGTAGGATTCTGCATGGCCTTAACGATCAACGCAATATATGGAACTAATAAAAAACGAGCTAACGATGATAGCAACAAAAAAAACGATCAAACTACTTTCGAAGATCTAGAGGGTTTGAAAGAAAGCCCAAGAATCAAAGCAATAATTGATGGTAGAGAAAAAGTCTTGCAACTGAACCCTCCTCTTCAGCTTGATCTTCTTCCTGTCCCTGATCATACCCTTGTTAATCGTCATGCTCCATCATTACCATGGTCTTCTGATAATGGTTATCTCTCACATAGTCAGAAAATTCAATAGCCTTTAAAGATAAATGAAATTTCTTTCGCATACTGATTACTGAATTATGATTATATAAATAATCGTGTACTTTTATAATATTGCAGGGAGTTCCCATGGGGGTTCATCCGAGAATCTCCTTGCCGCTACAGGATTTGATGTCAAGAGTACCCCACCGGCAACCATGGGGACAGAAGAGGCAACGTCATCTCTCCGGCTGGATTTTTACAGTTCTAGTAGAACTGAAAACGTTTTGAGCAACAAGGGCTTGGAACTGATAAACGACGTGGTGGAGATGCAGAGAGGCCCTTCTAGAGCTAGCGATGAAGATCATAATGGGATTTACAGAAAAAAATTGAGACTTACGAAACCAACAATCTGCATATTTGGAAGGAAGGTTTAAAGACCATTCTATTCTAAATCATGTAAGTAAATAACCACTGCCATCTTTAATAAGTTCAATGAATTGCAGTCTTATATTAAATAGTGTTATATTAAATCCAACGGAGTAGCAACAAAAATTTCTTACTTTCAGAGACAGAAGCTTGAACTAGCAAGACAACTTAATCTCAGCCCACGACAAGTCGAAGTCTGGTTTCAAAACAGAAGAGCAAGGTATGATTATTTCCTTTCTTTAAAAGAATTGTAAAACGGCGTCCTTATTGATGGTTTTTGACCGGATACTAATGAGTTTCAGTCTCTCGGCTGATATAGTATATTTCAATGATTTTCCTGTAGGACGAAACTGAAGCAAACAGAAATGGATTATGAATACTTAAAAAACTGCTGTGAGACATTAACGGGAGAAAATAGAAGATTACACAAGGAACTTCAAGAATTGAGGGCGTTAAAGACCACTACAAACTCATTCAATCTGCAACTCCCACCTACCACCCTCACCATGTGTCATTCTTGTGAGGTTGTGGCTGCTACCACATACACCATCACCCCAGCTTCTCCAAGTACTAAGTTCCTCAACACCCCACTGTCAGACAACTCCAGTCACTAGCCTGAACCAGTTTCCGGAATGAAGGTGAGAGAAATCAGAAGGTATTATCTTTATCTAGTAGAAAATCCCATGATTCGTATAAGTGATCATCATTTAATAATGCTACCACTAAAAAAAAGCTCCTTCTATCTTCCATAATAGAATAGCCTTTTCAATTTGTTTTTTATGAGTTTGTATATGTTGTTTAGTTATGATACCCCTACAATTATTAAAAAAGTTCATGAATGGTTTTTAATAAACAAACTAGCTATTTAATGAATTATAGCAAAAAGTGAGATTCTATCTAAGAAAACTACTTAAAAAGCTTTGATTTGAAAAAAAAAAGAAAAAAAAAACTCATATTATGGATGCTTTGAATTTGGTTTATATATATTATACATCTTCCATTTTCACATAAATTACTTACACGATCATATATTCTATATGTTTTCCATTTTTTGTTGAATAGCCGAGCACTAAACAAGATTAAAACATCGACTAGCAAGAAGTTATGGGAAAACAAAAAAGTAACCTACATGATAAAGGGAAGCAATAACACAGTCTAGCCAACTTAATCCGCAACAAACCCTTTTGTAATGGGAAGCAATAACACCAGTCTAGCCAACTTAATCCGCAACAAACCCTTTTGTAATGGGTGTTGCCAAAAGAACCCCATGAATGTACGGAGGTCAACCACACATACGAGGTTCACTTTATATACTAAGATCATCTTCAATGTAATAGATTTCTTCAATGGAATAGATTGATACAATATCATTTCATTTATTATATTTTTTTATGGTATTAAACTCTATATTTTATTAAATTTTATAAGGCTTAATGAATTGTCACATCATTTATCATTTTTTTTAGTTATTGTTATTTTTTAAGTAATTAATTAGCATGAAATTAAAGATTAATATATATATATATATATATATATATATATATATATATATATATATATATGTGGTTTTAAAAAGCATAAAGCGCCCTAAAGCGCTAAAGCCTTTGGGGACCGATGCACTAAGCGCTAAGCGAAAGCGCTCGCCTAGAGCACACGATGCGCTCCAAATTGAAAAAATATATAAAAAATATGGAAATACTTATAAATACTTAAAAATCTCATAAAATCATAGTAGTGTCATATTAAATCCTATGTACTAATAAGTTATAACTAGAAATTGTCTAAACTACAACACATAACTTATGAATTATGTGTATGACTTAACAGTTAAGTAACACAAGTTAACAACTAACAACTTAACAGAAAACATATAAATAATATGACCAAAGTTCATACTTCAGACTATCATAGTTTATAGTTTCGGACTTGAGAAGAGAATAGAATATGTAGATCAGTATAACGGAATGGAAGTAGAAAACATTTGCATAGTTGATTTCCGATTACTTGGAAAAGATGAGTTGGATCGATGATACGATTTGCTTTGTTTTGTGTAATTGTGTTTACCACATCGGGCAAGATTGATTCTTCGTTTCCATCCTTTTTTAATTTATATAAAACTATTGGAATACCTAACTTAATTAAAACCCATTTTCTATTAATTACCCTAAGCGCTATTAAACAGTGAAGCGCAAAGCGGAAAAAAATCGGAAAAGGCGACCGAGTAAGGGAATCGCATCACATCTCATTACTTGAAGCGCTTTAGGTCATCGCTTGGGCGCCTAGCGCATTAAACGTGCCTAGTCAGCACTTTTTTTAACTAAGTGTGTGTGTGTGAGGAGAGAATTGTAGAGTACAATAAGGATTTAATTCCTCATTTTATGAAATCCTTGTCATTATCTCAAAATGGGGATTTTGAGTTTAATGAAATTAAACTCTCCATTAAACCGCCTATTAAACTCCCATTGGAGATGGCCTAAGGACATCTACAATGTATTGAACTCCATTGAGTTCAATGGATTGCCACATCATCTTTCTACAATCAATACAACTTTATCATTTTTTTCCCTACAATGCATTGAACTCTATAAAGTTCAATAGAATGTTACAAAATGTAATTTATAGTAAATATTTAAGAATTAAAAACTTCCCATTTTCCCATTGAAGAGTTCAACGACCATTGAACTCCAAATTCATTGAATGTGAAGGTGTCATCTCACAATGTTAGAGTTTCATCAATTGGATGACACATAGACTTGTCACCTCATTCAACTATCTCATTGAACTCACCATTATGGATGCTCTAACTATAAATTATGATACAACTTTTGTATAAATATATACAATCACGAAGTTTTCCATTTAAATCTCATGTTATTTTATGTGGCTATCATAACTTTTGAAACAATATATATATATATATATATATATATATATATATATATATATATATATATATATATATATAGGATTAGTTTATTTTATTCAAAGTAATTATTGTGTTATTGTACATAAATGTGGGCCAATCAATTTTGCTTATTTTAAGAAAGTGATTAATATATATTATTGAATTAAATATAATTGAAAATATCGTCTAATTTAATTACAAGGGTATTTTAGTCAATTAATATAAATTTAATAAAGGAAAATTGCATATTTTAAGGGATCATAGATTCTATTAATTTTAAAAATCCGATTTTACGAATTATAATTCTTTTAATTCGGACATTCTGACAGAATATGTTTATGAGTATATTCAAAAAATAAAAATATTCTTGAACCATAAATAATAAAAATATTCTTGAACCTATTTCTTGATCATGACTTTAAAAACTTCTTGTAGAATAACAAATTCTTGAACAATCAACTGAAGAATAAAAACAAAAAATACATTATTTCTTATAGAATACGGGTAACAATTGTTAAGAATTACATTTATTGTTAAAGAATAAAACTAAAAAACTTTAAAAACGGAAAAGAGAACATCAAAATCTAATAACGGCACTAATACATTCTAAAAGAATAATGTTGCTTAGAATCACTTTCAACTTTGTGGTCCGTTCTTCAAGCATCAACTTCTGCGAAAACAAAACCAAATTGTAGTTTAGATTCCAATAATGCATTAGCAAATGAAAAATAAAAAACAGAATTAGAATCCAATAATGCATTAGCAATTGTAGTTTAGATTCCATACTCCATTCAAACAGAATTAGAATTCATGATTCCATTCCAATAGAATTGAAATTCGTGATTCCATTCCAATAGAATTGGAATCTCACCAATATCATCCATTGAATCATCTACAGAAACAAATTGATTTTTATCATATAAGAAGAAGTAAATTTTATATGAAATGATACCATTTTTTTACCCCTCTTGCTCATTGGTAATTACTCTTTTCCCTTTTTACCCTTCATTTTGTATGTGTAATGTAACATTGGCCTAGCACAAACTTTCACATGCAACCTGTAGAACGGATCAGTTGAAGATACAAAAACAATCCATGATAAACTCTAGAGTATCTGCCACAATGATGACCTACAAACAAATCAATGATGTCTTGAGAAAATTGGCAATTCACAAACTTTCCCAGCCACCCTGTCAAGAATGTGTTTTGTTTTTATTCTTCAAATTGCTCCTGGTATTCTGAAATCAGAATCCACCAAAAAAAAATGCAACAAGAAAAAATGCTCCAATTCTTCATTTTTTTGTTGTCGCAGCTATTAATTGATGACTTCAATCTTTGAAAGTAATTTTTTAAGGTAATTGATGCTTGAAATTTCGATTAGAGATTTCAATTCACACCAGATCGATGTCAAATAAAACAAGAATCAAGAGGGAAAAATCAGAAAGATGCAAGCAATACTTGTGTCAAGCTCTTCTTCGTGTGTTGATGGCGATCGAACCAGCCAAGAAAACGAACCCCTTTTCCCCTCGTATTCCTCCTTCTCTCCTATTGCCATCGACCACAAAGCCCCGTCGCACCCACCTCTTCTTCTTCCGTCGAGCCAGTGCCACCGAAGCCCTACCTGTCGTCGGACCCTCTTCTGGTCTCACCCCTCGCTCTCTCTTCTGTTCCTATCGAGCGAAGCCTTCGAAGATTCGCTCTCTCTTCTGTTCCTATGCTCGATTTTATGGCGATGGGAATCGATTTTTGTAGAACTGAAGATCGATTTTGTAGTCTTATTCCAATTTTGCAGATCGGCCAGATTTGGTTTTTAGATAAAGAGGGGAACGAGATTTAAACTGGAGAGATTAGGTTAAAAGTCAATACCATGATTATAGGGATTATTTTTGGAAGTTACTAAACAAATTACTAAATTACCCTTATTTATGTATTTAATTATTTAATTTTGATTGACCCACATTTATGCATACAATAACACAATAATTACTTTAAATACCTGAACCTATCTCCCTTTCTCTCTCTCTCTCTCTCTCTCTCTCTATATATATATATATATATATATATATATATATATATATATATATATATAGGAGGGTTTAATTGAGAAAAAAAAGGTTGAGAATGGGGGAATCATTCTCAGCCACACATTTATTTTGCCGCAAAACACTTAGGCGTACCGTTGGAAATGGATAACGGATAAACATGTGTTTTCCAACCAAACATGTTTCTTTAAACTATGTTAATCATTACCTTAATATACACAAAAACATATTTTTTTTTGTTTTTTTTTTAATTTTAGAAAGCCATTTTTATCGAAAAATTATTTTAAATATATCAAAATTCATAATTTTTTATTCTCTATAAATAGACATCAATATTGATATAGTTTTAAGATAAAATAAAAAATTTATTTTTTTTAGAGTTTTAGCTCTCGTTATTCATAAGTGAATAAAAATCTATCAGATTTTTATTACAGTACATTCGTTATTCACTTATAAATAAAACGTATACTTAATTTTTTTTATAGTTTAAGTATCGTTCATATATGAATATCACACGTAATAAAGTTTTCTTACTTAAAATATATTTTTTACATCATCTTTCGTCATATATTATATTTATATCTGAATAAAACGTGTATTAGTTGTCGTCATATTTTATATTCATATATGAATAAAACATTTATCAGATTTTTGTTACAATTAATTTTTTATTCATGTATGAATAAGTAGTATAAATGATACTTAAACAGTAAAAAAAATTAATTATATATTGTTATTCATAAGTGAATAACGAATGTACTGTAGCAAAAATCTGATGCATTTTTATTCACTTATGAATAACGATAGCTCAATCCCTAGTGTGAAAATCGACTCTCCTCGACTCCTCAATCCCTACACGACAACTTTTATAAGTTATCAATTCATACTCATAACCCTTACAAGGGTCACTCAAGTCCAAGTCACAGTCAAGGTCAAAAACTTGGTCAAAGTCAACATCTGGTTGACTCGACTCGCCGAGTTGGTCCACCAACTCACCGAGTCCCCATGTCCACAAAATGCTACCATCCCGTCCCTACTCGTCGAGTCTAGCAAGAGTTCGATGAGTTCGCCTTCAACAACACATCGGACTATCTTCAACCGACTCGCCGAGTTCGTCCTTGAACTCGTCGAGTTCATCTTCATCCATATGAAGGTGTTCAGTCTATGGCTCGTCGAGTTCATCCTTGAACTCGTCGAGTCCGTATTCATGAGGTTGGGAACATGAGTTTACTTTAATTAAAATACGTACCAGGAACCGGGTGTTACAAGAAAACACCCTTCCCAAACACCTCCGGATCATAGCCTTGCTCATCCATGCCCTCTCTCTCGTCGAGGTCACCTGAAAAGAAAGGAAACGAAGGAAGTGAAGCTCCCACCACAACT